AGGTGAACGTACAGGCGAACGAATTGCCACTCTCTCGTCAGAATCTGTTGTCTCATTAGGTTTGCTGTAAGAAAACCGATTTCGAATTCAAATTGGCTCTATTGGCTTGTTGTGACTATATCGTCTTCTCATCTTTATAACAATTTAAAATAATTCAAATTTAATTAGAATTTTATAAATTCATCAATTAGAACTAAATTTATTAAATACTATTAGTGTGTCGGCAAAAAAAAAAAATGCAATTAAGTAATCAATTCGGTTAAATTACTGCCGATTTAGCTACACAAAATTTAGGGTCAATTATACCGGCTGTATATGGTTAATGACAATTGGTATGACAAATAATATTATCGAAAATAGTCATTTATTGAATGAAAATAAAATAAAATATATAATAATATAAAACATAATAATAAAATAAAATAAAACATATAATAATATAAACATAATAATAATTAAATAAAATAAAATATATAATAAAATAAAACATATAATAATAAAATAAAATAAAACATAATATTAAAATAAAATAAAATATATTAAAATAATAAAATAAAAAATAAAAAATCAATGACGTTGGTAAGAGCGCCCGCGCTCTCGGTGGTAAGGAGATCGAGAATGAGAGCGCCTGCGCTCTTAGTGGTGAGAAGATCGAAAATGAGAGCGCCTGCGCTCTTGGTGGTGAGAAGATCGAGAACGAGAGTGCCTGCGCTCTCAGTGGTAGTAGGGGGATCGGGAGCGAGAGCGCCTGCGCTCTCTATACTCGTATGTCTTACGATCCATCCTATTTCTCCGGGCGGCCCAGACTAATGCTTAAAACAAAGCAAGTATTAATATAAATGCAATGAATTAATGAAAAAATCAGTTAAATAATAAATACTTACGCTCCACTATCCAAAACTCGTCAGAGAGTTCCTGGTGGAATCTCTCGTCATGCAAAGTAGGGGTACGAGTGGGATATCCTTCAGGATTTCTGTTTATTAATCTCTCTAAATTCTCATACCCCGACTTTAGTGCATTTCATTTCTCTCTACATTGTTTTCTAGTTGGCCTGAATATGTGGTTGTTTCGTATATCACGAGCAATTCCACGCCATAATTGGTTTTGATCATGTAACCTCGTTGTGGTGAATAAGGGCTGATAGGCCCGACGATGCTGAAATAAGGTCAAAGCAGCGTCATCGGGCCATTGAATGTATACTGGAAGATTTGCGTTTAAGTTTAATGCTGCCATTATTAAATATTATTAGTTTGATGGGAAAAATGTCAAGAAAAGGCTCTATATTTATAATAAATTTATTATGATTTCTTTAAGTTTATTTTTACGATCTTGTCTAAATTTTTTAGTTCTAATGCAATCATCCTTAATTAATTTATTTAACA